ACTGGGGACAGAAGCGGATCTGGGAGCTTAGAAACAGCCTGGAGCAGGGATGGCGGGGTGAAGCACCGGGGCCTGGAGGAACAGCCCCATGTGGAGTGGATCATCCTGGTTTCCTCAGCGACTGTACAGGGGCTGATGGGCTGGGCCCAGGATGCCCAGCTGTGGCTAAAGCTCCAGAGCTCCCTCTGCGCTCTGGTTAACTGGTGCAGGGCAGCCCAGGCAGGGGTGGACGCTCCCTTTCCTAAGGCATTGTGACGCAGAGCCAGGGATGGGACCTTCGGGTCAGGACCTGCTGCCTCTCACCGTCATTGCCAGCTGTGTCATCCCTGTCCCCAGCCAGTTTTTCCTCTGGCTATGGGAATGCTTCCGGCCTAAAGGACAGGGTGGGGACCTGTGAGACTGCAGAGTACTTGGGCGCTGTACCTGGTGGTCTGGAGTCTCATGGGGCCAAGGCTGCCACCTGGCACAGGTCTTTTCCAGAACATTTCACACTGGGCTCCTGAGATGCCATGGACTCTGCTATGCCTGTGGGAAGAAGAGGCATCTGGGGTGTGGTGGCGCCTTCGTGGTGGATCTGACTTCAGGACCGCACCACCTGATGGGTCGTGGGATCTAGAGCTGTAATTGAGCCTGCATAGGCACAAAGCTGGATAGAGCGAGAGTCTCTGCAGCCCACAGATGCCTTACCTGGAGCCGACTGGGCTTCTCAAATTGAAGCCTGACAATTTCCAACACTGAGGCTGTACTGCCGCCTTGTGGTGGCATATGGGAACTGCAGCTGAGTTTACCTTGGACCCTGGGTTTCTCTCCGTCCCTCTGTCCGTCCTTCCTTACCATGCTAGGCCAGCACTGTTATTTTTTATTGTGAGACAAGCTCCTGCTAATGTTTCCAGGCCAGCCTAGAACTTACAATCCTGCTGCTTCGGCCTCGCAACTGGCTGAGATTATAAGCAAGGGACACACACTGACTAACTTTGGAGTCTGGTTGTCAGCAGCAGACCCTGGTACAGGGCGTCTGAGAGAGGGCCCAAGAACTCACACAACTGGAGAGAGGCTCCTGGGGCTGCCTCTTAAGAGAGGGACCGAATCTTCACTCAAGTGTCTCTCCCATGTGATTATTATTTTTTTGGTACTAGGAATTGAACTCAGGACCTTGTGCTTGCCAGGCGGGCACTGTCCTCCTGAGCTGTGTCCCTTGTACCATGTGATTCTTCTGTAGGGTTGGTGACTTGATACAAAAGGGCCAGGGCAAAATGAAAACGCGGAGCCCCTTGTTCAGAAATGATGAGAATTTCGAGACAGTGACATAAAACAGTACAAGCCTGGGGCCCTGCGCGCCTCCGCGGGTACCGGCCCAGGAGGCTCGGCCTTGTCTCCCAACCTCCAGATGTGGAGAGTCCCGCTGCAGTTGCTCGATCTGTTAAATATGTCTGAAATTTACTACTTGAGAGCTTTGTGATTTTGAACACATTTATAACCCCTGTAAATCTCATTAGCCTCATTTTTTTTTTTTTTTTTTTTTTTTTTTTTTTGTCTTTTTCATTCTTATCGGTACTGGGGATTGAACTCACGACCGCCTGCTTGCAAGGCAGGCGCTTATGCCGCTGAGCTAAATCCCCAGCCCCTAGCCTCATTTTTAAACATCGGGGTCAGTTCTTTGCGAATATGAAATCTCGATGCTGCTGAAATGTAACTTTTCAGCGTCCTGGGCTCAGGTGACAGGCATTTGGATGCGAAGATGAAAGATCGGTGGCCTTTGCCTTTCAAGGCTGATCCTACCACGAAGGAAAACAGTTAAAATCCAGGACAAGCAGCACGTGAGGCGCACCACGCCCTCTAGGGGGCGCATAGAGCAATTACAAGGCATGTTGGTGCTGGAAGACGACCGTGTAAAGCACAGGCAGGTCTGAGGGAAACGTTCGGTGTGCTGTGGGGTGGGGGTTAGATGATGGGTCCAGACAGGGAACGTGTGCAAACCTTCAGTCCTGAGGTGCGCAGGAAACCTGGCGACCTCTACGCGGTTAAAGACCGGAAGTGGGACCAGGCTGAAGAGGAACCCAGAAAGGAGCTCTTTAGCACGAATTGGAACTGTGTACCCAGAGCTGGTAGGCACCAAGGAAGGGATTTAGGCCTGGGATGAGCACGGCTGGGTTGAGTTTGGACAGTGAGCTGCAACAAGGCGGGGTATTATGGCACACCCCCGTAATGCCACCTACTTGAGAGGCTGAGGCAGGAGAATTGCCAATTAGAGACTGGCCTGGGTAACTTAGCTAGATTCTATCTCAAAATAAGGTAAGGTAAGATAAAATAGGATTAAAAAATGATTGAGGATGTAACTCAGTGGTAGAGCACTTGCTTAACATGCGTGAGGCCCTGGGCTCAATCTCCAGCACCCTATGGTTCACACATAATCTATCTCTGTCTATCATCTATCTATCTATCTATCTATCTATCTATCTATCTATCTATCTTATCTCATCTACCTATCTGTCTACGTATCTTCTATGTACCTGTCTAGTATGGAGAGCAGGGTACAAAGGGAGGGGTGAGGTGGGGCGCCCCAGCTGGAGCATTTGCAGCTCTGCAGCGAGACATGAGCAAGGCCTGAAGTCGGGGAGGGTCAGGTTGTCAGTAAGGTCTCTGATCCTAGGATTTGGTGGCTTCTTGGTATGGGCTTCAGTGACGAGTCAGGACTGATGCCTGACTTGGACAACTTGGTGAACAATGGCGCCATTGTCCGAGACAGGAGTGAAAATAGGGTAAAGGGGAAGAGGACACAGGAAAAAGGGGGACAAGAGAAAAAAGGATGGTTTGAGGGAAGACGTCATGTGGAAATTTTGCCATCGTTGAGGTTGAACTTTGTAAGCTGTAAGATACAATGGTAAGAGAGGCCAAAGTACCTGAGCTTACAGGATGAGTTCATTGGTGGACACTTTGAGTTCCACAGCGTGGCGGGTGGAGAAGATGTCCTTTGGCTTCTCCTCATCCCTCTCCTGACATTCAGCTCATGAGTGAGTCCCATCACTTCTGTCTAGAAGCCACTGTTGACCTCTGTCCCTCTGTCTTTCTTCACCTCTGTCACTCCTTTCCTCTGCAGTGCAGAGAAAGTTGGGCTGGGTTGGAGGAAGGAGGGATCCTGCCCTTTGGGCAGGTTGGAGACTCCAGAGCCTGGGCCGTCAGTGATGTCGGCACATGGGATCTTTGCTCAGAAGGACTCAGCAGTGCTGGTCAGCAGAGGGCATGTTGGAAGGTGAGGCTTACACAGGACTAAAGTGCTGCTGGGCAGGGGAGCCCCAGAGAAGCAGAGGCTGAGGGTGGAGCTTTGCAAAGGCTTATGGGTTGAGAAGCAAAACAGGAGAAACCAAAGACTGACTAAAATCTGACTTGAAGTGTCTGCCCCATTTTTCTGTGTAGTGGTAGAATACTAGAGGAGTGGGATTGGCAGAGCTTTGGATATGGAACCCACGAGTCCCAAGGCTCAGCGGATTCTGCAGGTGGTTGGAGACAAAGGCCAAGAGAGCTGAGAAGTGTCAGCAGGGTGGGGGCCAGCAGATCCCAGGCCCTGACCGCAGGCAGATCCTGTGGTCCCTAAGCCACCTAGTTGTCCCCTGGAGTTCCTGGTGCTGTCTGGGGGATAGAGTGCCCAGAGGCAGATTGCTAAATGGCTTTGGGTTGTGCTCAGGAGCTGGAGATGAGGGTGGGGAAGGCAGGAGACAGGAGATGAATGGGGGGACTGGTGGGGTAGGCTAGGCTTGTGAAGCCTGGAGGTTGACAGCCCCAGAAAAGAAGTCTCTAGGAGAAGAATCCTTCTTCACACCCCCTCCAGGTGTGTATACAGTATAGGCCGCGGCTGGGTGAGCATCTCCAATGGAGACACGAGAGAGACGTCCAGGGCATAGCGTGGCGAGCCTTTTGGGGGTTCCTTTTCCTGTTCTCTGACTCTGTCCCCTCCCTGCACATGCCACTGCCGCACTCATACTCTGTCTTTACCTTCACTGGTAGGCACTGGAGGCAGGGGCTGGTGACTGGGCATCTGAGTCACATGCACCTCTTGGGCTGCACCAGTTACTGTGAACTGGAGGGAACCTGGAGAATTTGAGCCACCCCAGAAGAATGTGTGTCTTGAGAAGGGCCAAGCCCCCGGCAGGCAGGGGTGCCCTGTGAGTTCACTTGTCACATGACTCCGAGATCGGGACACCAGGGCTCCCTAGGGGCCTCATTGTTGAGCTGGGCAGAGCAGTGATGCCACCGTTTGCATCTCCCCGGCTATGCTGATGGCCTGGGAGGCCTGTGGTGCCAGCAGGGCCGTGCTTACAGGGTGGTATTTCTGCACTAGGCTCTGTAATGAAGAACCCACAAAGAACACAGAGAAAGGCCTGGGGAAGAAAGGGCTGAGGAAGGAGGAGCACCACAGGGAGACTGAGGCAGAAGGTAGGAGCCTGTGACTGCAGGCTGAGGGTCATTAGCTTTCCCTTCACTGGGCACAACGGCAAAGGGGGCTGGGTAGGAGCTGGAAATAGAATCCACTCTGGTTGAAGGTTTGCAGGAAGGAAGAGCTTCCAAGGCACTAGAATAGGAACCTGGGGAACATTCTAGAAATGCCTTTCTTCACCTCCTCTCTAAGGGGACGAGATTCCTCATCATTAAGGGATGGGTGAAGACCACTGTATTTAATGACAGCTGAGGTGACAGTAATCGTAATGGTCATTACATGTGTCCAGGGCTTGACAGTCCTAGGATTTTGACTCCATTCACTCAGCAGCCCTGTCAGGCTGTGCCCTCTGGAAGGGTGGCCCAGCAGGTCAGGGACTGGAAGTGGCCGGTCTGAATGAATAGTGGACAGCTCTCTGTGAGAAGTGGCCACCTCCGTTTGCCTCTGGAGGGAAGAAACGCTGGGCTCTGACCTCACTTGGGTCCTTTCCTCTTCCCCTGGTGGCCTGAGGAAGTCCTGGGTGCCCCGGCTTACTTGCCCTGTGTCCCCGGAGGAAGCCCACGCAGGCTGGCTGATGCATAACTTTATTAAATAAATGCTTTGCCATGACAAAAGACAAAGATCAAGGAGTAACATAAATTATAAGTTGAATAAATAGTATACAGCAATCTTCACTTTTTAATAAAACGTGAGATCCTCTGGGTTTTTTTTTTTTTTCTTTTTATTTCCTTAAGTACAAAATACTAAACAGGAGCGAGCTCTTCCGCATTCAGGTGATTTTTTTCCCAGCTTTTTTTTTTTCCACAAACTGCTTTGTTTGTTGGTTTATTTTTCCATCCTTTTCACCAGTAAAGATGAGCTTTTTTTTTTTTTTAAGTTGAAAACAAAAACGAGGAGAGAACAGAGCTATGGTATGGCGTTATGTAACACTAATAAAGACTACAGTAATATGTGCGGTGGTTATTGCTGTCTTTAAAACAAAAACAAAAACAAAACACCAGAAACAACCGGTAGGCAACTCGGAATCTGAGGGAATCTTGTCTGGAAACTGTACTATCCACGTGGGCTACGTGTCGTGGTGGTGGCGGCGGAGGTGGGGCTGAGGCTGGTGACCAGGGACCGGAGAGCAGGGTGGCCGGGGTGCCCTTCCCCTCTGTCCCCCCCGACTTGCCTTTCTCCATCGGGAAGGATTTAGGAGAGGAGCCAGAGTCTGTGAAGTGGCTGATCTGTCTACTCCATTAGAAAACCATTAGAAAACCAAGAAAGTACGTTTTAACAAAGAAACTATAACCTAAAAGAAAAAAAGGCCAAAAACCCCCAAAACAAAACAAAAATAAGTGGAGAAACAGTGCAAAATAATTCTTGCACTTTAGTGGTTTTAAAAATAAAGACAGTACAACACCCAGGTTGCTGGTTGGTGAAATCCTGTTCATTCCCTTGTCTCCAAACACCTCCTTTCTCAGAAGCCAGTGGTTCCTCTCTGAGACTAAAGGGTCTCCTCTCTGGCCCACTCCCCTCTCAAGTCTGAATTGGGAACTGGAGCCCTCTAGGGTTCTGAGTTGATAGATGGAGAGGGGTGTGGCCCTGCAAAGGTCTGGGGAGGCATGGCAGTTGCCCTGACAGCTCCCGTGTTGTTGAGGACCTGGTGGTGGGAGGAGGGGAGCCCTGCAGGGTTACCATGGAGACAGAGGAGGTGATGAGAAGAAGGGGCCAGGGGAGAAGAGGGGTGACCATAGAGGGCCGCCCTTCCTTGCCTATGTGGGGCTGGTGTCCCCAGGCCTGTCTGTCTAGGCCTGGCTGTCAGAGAAACATTTGAGTCTCTTCCTGTCCAGGTGCCCTGTTTTCCTGGTGGTCAGGGCGGGCTGCGGAGGAGGCTCAGTCCTGGCGGGGCCTCCCGCAGTTACCTGGGGTAGTGAGGGAAGACAGAGGTATCTTTTCTACTGCAGAATGAGGGATGAGTCAAAGGAGTGAGGGGAGGCCTCCTGAGGGGAGGGGCGGGGGCAGGTACAGCCATAGATGCCCCCGCCTCTGAGGCCTCTAGGGGAGCTGAAGGCCCGGCTGGAGCCAGCGTGCCTGCTGCTCACCCCATTGCAAGCCCACTTTTCTGCCTGCTGCTGGGGGGACGGTGGCTTCTTGCCCCTCCCAATCATCTCCCCACCGTGGGCTCAATCAGACCTCTCATTTGGGAGGTTTAGTCCCATCCATCCACAAAGGTCCAGCTTTCTCTAGGAGAGGTCAGCTGCCCACGCCCACCTTCCGCAAGCGTGGAGAGTGTGGGTTAGTAGCCAGGAACTTGGGGCAGCCTGAAGAGTCCTGCAGCAGGTGAAGCCAGACCACCATCTTCCACCTGTGGCTGACAGCAAACGCCCCGGGTGAGGGCTGAGGCCAGGTCAAGGTCCAGTAAACAGTGAGGGAGAGAGAGAGAGCCCTTTCAGGGGTCAGGTCCATGCCTGGAGGGGTGGGGGGAGGCAGTTCCTGGCTCAGGCTTTTCTTAGGGGGATGGCACCCCAGTATCTTTTTGGCAGCTCCCAGTTAGCTGACTGCTCAAGATGCAACAGAAGAACGGCAGAGGAAGGTTTAGAATACTGGCCTAGGACACAGAGAAGTGTGAGCTGGGGGCTTGGGGACACTTGTGCAGAGAGCTGCAGCGCGCTGGCTTGCAGATCCTGCAAGTCCTCCTGCTTCATTGCCATCGGGCCTTTTGTTTCACGAAGATCAACCAACTCTCCCATGCCGGGTCAGCTGTCCTGTCCGGGGAGCAGGGAGCGTCCCCAGCTGTCATAGCAAGGCGTTTTGATTCCTTGATTCTTGTCACTCTGTTGTCCCTCTTCGTGCCTCAAGTTTGGTGTTGGAGTTGGTCTCCACCGAGTCATGCTATCAAGAGAGTGGAAAGTAGTGTTTCCACAGCAACAAAGGGTCTTCTTGCCTAGCGCCCGAGTGCCCTTTCCCAGCAGGGTATCTTCAATCTTAGAGGACAGTCCCAAGGTCACCCTTGGGTTGAGGAAGTCAGCACAGAGAGGGAGTCAATCAGACTCCTGCTGCCAAATGACAGCACCCTTGACGCTTCTGTTCCCAGGTCCTCCCGGGCCTGTCTTCCTCCTCCAGCCCAGGGAGGAAGCATGAACTGGCCAGAACAGGCAATGAACTTTAGGACCCTTTGGCTTTGGTGCCGCATGGTGGGCTGAAGGTGAGCACATCCTCTTGTCCCTTTGAGGCCAGTCTACTGGTTCTTGTTCTTGCTGGCTTCTCCAGTCTAAAACTCGTCTAAAATTATTCCCCTTGCCTGGCCCTGTGGCCTGGACTGAGCTCCTTTCTGTACCCCCATTTTCCTCTCTCCTTTCTCTTGAACCCCAGAAGGCTGTGGTAGAGGGAAGCCACAGAAAGTTGTCTTGGCTTCCCCTCCGCTCTGTTGCTTTTCTGATCCTCCAGCCCTCGGCCCGCTGCTCCACTGATTGCTTTCCTCTTTTGAAACCATTTTTCCACCATCTCCCTCTTTGCCAACTCTCATGTCAGCCTCTCTCTTGCTCTGCAGAATTGCGGAGCTGTCCGGATGAAAGCCATCAGGCTGGGGCAGGACCAGTGGTCAAATTAGACCTGCGGGGCTTGCCTGGTGCAGTGCCCAGCAGCAGTTATGTTCTGAAACGGGATGAGCTGGGTCGAGCGGGCACACAGCACTGAGTGCTGGCGGCAGCCCAGCTTGGTGGCCCTGTGTGAACACACACGGGACATTATTAAAAATCCAGTGCTGGGCCTGCAAAGGGCTGAGTTCTCAGCTCCTGGGAAAGCCTCAACTAGAGGCAGCAAAGCTCATGTGTTGAGTTATAGCAGAGAATGTGGTTTTCCCAGAATGAGGAAGCTCTCAGTGCCCCCGTAGAACTACTTTGAAGAGGTAATGCAAACTTTTGAAAGAAAGCAAGCAAAAAAAAGACAAAAAGAAAATAGATTGATATGCCTATATAGGGAGGCTTGCAGATAGATACAAGCCCAATTTTTTTTTTTTTTTTTATTTTGTTTTTTCAGCCTATCCTCCTCCACAAGGCTGCTGTGCTAGTTGGGAGATGAATGACATGTCACGCTTCTGCTCACTGGAAGGATGAGTCTTTCTAGTGTGGGGTGTGTTCACGTCTCAGAGGAGCGCACTACGCATACAAGTTTAATATTTACGGGTCTTCTTAGGAAAGTCTGCCTAATTTCACTCGATTATGAATTTGGCTTATTTTCAGAGGAATGGAATGCATTTTAGTCTTTATAAATTTGGGGGAGAAATGACACCCCACTGGCATAAGAGGAGAGGAGGGGTGGGGTCAAGTTGTCCACCCTGTGGCCAGAGGAAGAGACAGATGAGAGAGGCACTGACACATTGTATCTTTTCCTTTCTCCCCCTGACCAATCCAAAGTAAGAAAACTCAAGGGTGTCATGGAAACGCCCCCTGTTGGACCTAGTGCCCCAACCTCTCCCTAGCCTCAGCTGGGGCTGGACTTCGGGGACAGACCCAGGCCTGGTTCCTGCCCTGTCCTTCGGCCCACACACCTCCCTTCCGTCTGGTAATCCTGCCCATCGTTCGCTTTCTTCTGCACGTTCTTCCCTTCCCTCCCTCCTGCTCATCTTCTTTTCTCTTCTCTGTTCATCCAACTTGCCTCAGAAAGAAAACCATTTTCAAGGGGAGGAGGGGTGTCTCCTTCTCTGCTTGCACCTCTGTTGCTGCCATTTTCAAAGTGGAGCCCTTGCTAGAGATTCCGAGGTCCTCAGTTTCCTCAAATATATGTCATATATATTTTCCCTTAAATGAGATGAAATGAGTGGCGTCCTGGGGTGGAGGGAGGCGATGGCTGGAATTGGGGCGGGAGTGGGGGGGCGGGGGGAGGGGACGCGTCACTCAACGTTGCTGCTGTCGAAGGTGTGGCACTGAAAGTCCCCGTCGACGTACTCCATGCCTGGCAGCTTCATCCCGTACTTGTCCACGCACCAGCAGATGCCACGTTTGCGGCCACGGGAAGGCTTGCACTGAGGTGTAGGGGAGCAAGGGACAGTGAGGACGCTGCACCGAGGCCTGGCCTGTCTGCCCTGCCTCTTCCCTACCAAGACAAGCACTTATCCCCAGGGGGTTGGGGGCCGCTATCCCCAACCTTGGCAGTCCTGGAGTCCTAGAGAACAGAGCTGCTTTAGACAGCCTGCCCTTGGCCACCTCTTTGCTGTGTTGCCTGGCCTGGGGTCCTGCAGGGATACTCAAGGCAGGAGGCCCATCTCTTACATGTGCTAATGGCACTAGCCTATTGTGGTAGGAGGGACTGTCACAGCTTTCTCATGTGCCAGGCACCTCTTAGCCCTTCCCACACGGCAGGAGCTATCCTAGAGCTCCACGGTGGGCTCACCTACTCCTGATCAAGTGCTGTGGGGACTGCCAGTGTCCCCTCCCCAGGAGAAGTGGGAGGCACAGATACGTTCCACAACTAAACCCAGGGGACACAGCGAGCCCGTGGCACAACCAAGATGGACCTCGGTGTCGCCTGGCTCTTCATTGCTGACATAGGTAGGGGCTCCCTTTAGGCCACATCAGGGTCTTCTGGGAACTTGGAAGAAATGCAAAACCCTCAGAGTCCACCTCAGCCAAAAGCCTAAGCACTGCTGGTTATGTGACAATAAACAGTCAGAAAGTGGGGTGGTACTTTAAGGGTAGCCTGGCTGCAAAGGGACATGAACTGATTTCAACTGGTACAGAGAGGGAAGAGGCTTTAGAGTCTCTGTGTGCATGTTTATGTGTGTGTGCATGGATATGTGTGTTCATATACATGTATGCATTTGTGTGTGTGCACACGTGTGTATGTGTGTGTGTGTAGCAGAAAGGGATTCAAGGAACACAGACAACACGTGATCTGAGGGATACTGTAACGTTTCCTCTGATGAATTCATATAGAGAAGAGGGATTAGTGAGAAGCTGAAATTTACAACAAGAGCACACAAGGACAATGACAATTTCAGTGTGCGAATGGACCTTGGAGGTTGGGGAAACACTACCTCACTGAGGGTGGAACTCTCAGCCGCTTGTGGGAGACAGCGGTTTCCTGGTAGGTGCCAGGATGTGCCTGAGCCTGGGAGGCCACACGGGGGAACGTACCTGCTTTCTCTTGTAGAATCCTTTGCGGTCACAGTTGGGCAGGTACACGGCACGGGGCACCATGCGTGGGCTCGCTTTGAACTCCTGCAGGGAAGCTTCCACGTGTCTGCGGCAGGGGCCCTGTGTGGACAGGAGGGATGAGAGGCATGGCAGAATCCCAGAGAGAACCACCCTGATGTACAGATGTATGATCCAGGTGTGGGGTCTAAAGTCACTGTACTAGTTAGGTTAGTTTTTTTTTTTTTTTTTTTTTTGGTCCTGAGATCAAACTTATGACCTCATGCTTGCCAGGTGGGTGCTGAGCCGCTGCGCTAGATCCCCGGCCCACCATCTTTAGTTCTAATCAGCTGCTTTTAAAGACCTTTCCTCTCTTCCGTGTCCCTGGGGTGTACTAAAAGTCTGCGTTGGACCAGGCACAGAGTCTCCCTGTAGCTTTTCAGTCCTGCTGAGCAGTTCCTCTCAGTCTGCCGTCTCTGGGTGTTCTAGGAGAATATTCAGCCTCCACTAGGGCTGGACACAGCCCCGGGGGTCACATGGGTGGCAGGCAGGCACTCCCGAGTGACTCCTGCCTCCACACTCACTCACCGGGACAAGCTCTTAGTCCTGATAAATGTGAGTCCCAGAAATTATCCTTCCTGAACTGAGCACCCCAGTAAGCCACTGGGCCTTGTTAGGTCTGGCCTGTGAATCTCCTGCAGCCCCAGACACCCACACGGAAGCAGGGAAAGGTCAAATGGTGGCATGGCAGCCGAGGGAGAGAGGGGCCAACAATCCCCAAGACTGACCTGCTCAGATTCCTGTCTCATCTCAGAAGCGGAAGTGACCCGAGGGTGGGCAGTGTTCTCGGTTCCCCCCACGAACTTGGACTGGGTCAGCTTCTTCCTGCGATCCTTCTTCACGGCCTCAGCCTTCAGCTCGGAGAGGCGGGTGTGCTTGGGCCGGAAGATCTTTGGGGCGTAGGTCTCTTCGGTCACCTCGGAGGTAGTCGGCTCCTCATGTTCACTGGAGTCTTTCTCTGCAGGGAGACGAGGTTGGGGGTCAGTTTCCAGGCCTGGGGTGAAGGGAGTAATAAAGGATGAGGTAGATGGGGGCTCTCCTTCCTGGCGTCCAGCAGAGTGGGTCATTTTAGGGCAAGAAGAGGCTCTGCTCAGTGGGTCTAGACTAGAGAAGAGGAAGCTTAACAGTGTCCTGCTGACACATGCGGTGTATGAGGGGCAGTGGAGGGTGGTTTGAGATGTGCAGAGCTGGAGATGCAGGCAAATGGGGAAACAAGAAGCTTGGGCAGGGACAAGAATGACCAAGTCTGTTCCTCTGGTGAGAGCTTCATGCTTTTGGAACTGTAGGGCATTGAGATGCAGCAGACAGTCCTTACAGGAGACAAGGACCGGAGACAGAGAGACAGCAGACAGAGTCCTTACAGGAGACAAGAAGAGCCTGACTTGTGGCCTGGAGGGGGAATGATGTGGAGCCAGATGGCATCCAGAGACCTTGCTGCCTGCCTCAGCTCAGAGCTGGCTTTGTGCTCCAGGCCCTGGGAGACCGGGACATTACTCAGCTCCAGCCTAAGAGAGGCCGACAGCTGGCCGAAGTAGCAGCAGTTATATATAGGAGAGACTTGGTGACAGTCTATACTTAGCTGACTTACGACCTTTAGAGAAGTAGAATTTTGTTCACGTATTTGTTGGTTAGTTAATTCCACCTGCCTGGCCATTCTCGGTTCACGATTTTCAGTCAATTCTCTTCTCATAGGTTTCCTCTTCTCAGCCCCCTGACCCCCAGCTTTAGACCCAGAGTGGGGAACCTTACGTTGCTGTTCCTGGGTGGGCGTGGTATAGGCAGGTTGTCCCTGATGAGACCAGGGGCAGCTGGGGACAGGAGGCCCTGACATCACTGCCCTGTTTTCAAATACTCAGAGAAGAGGACAGATTAGAGTGACACCCAAGTAACGAAAATGGGGTGAAGTAAAATCCCATTCCATTATCCCTGGGACACTTAGGAATGCTGATAGCCAGGCACTTGGCTTCACACGCTCTTTCCCCAGTGCCATGCCTCCATGCTATCACAGCGCCCTGTGATGACCTGTCCCAGGCTGAGTCTCCCAGGTGTGGAGGCGGAATGCAGGTTCTAGGAATTTTTTGTTTTTTTATCAGTACCAGGGATCGAACTCACAACCGCCTGCCTGCTTGCAAGGCAGGTGCTTATGCCGCTGAGCTAAATCCCCAGCCCCAGGTTCTAGGAATTAAGCATCATGTCTTGCACTAAACCAACTTTCCTTGCTTATGGTGCAGGTTAGATGGGGGGTAGGGATGCAGGCAGGAGCAGAGTTGGTTTGGGGCCACTCTGTGGAAAGGGAAAGGCTAGGGCCCCATCGTCTAGTAACAGGCCCCAACCTGGGGCTTGGTCCTGGAGGGGGAGCTAACCATGACTGGCTGGGCCACCTCACTGTGAGGCAGTAGGTTCAGACTCTTCGGGCCCTGTCAGGCATCCCAGCCCTCAAAAAGCAGTGGGAAACTGTTGCCTGGGGGATGGCAGGAGACACCTGTCACTGAAAGCCAGAGGGTACCCTGGGGGTGCTTGGCCAAGTCCCTTCTCCAGTTGAGACTATCCCTGGGTAAACTTTAGTAAATACATGTGTAACATCAGGGGTCTGCTCTAGCCCATCTTGGAAAGCCAGAGATGGTTCAGGAGTCTCATTCAGCTGGGCTACTGGGAATGTTCTCTTTAAGGAGAGAGCCCTGGAAGCCGGGGCCTGCTGTAGCTGACTGAACCAGCTCCCAGAAGTCCTTTGAGGGACACAGTTCATTCCACTGTGTCCAGGCAGAAACAAGTGTACAATCTATCTCAATGGTGTGCTCTCTGGCTCTTAAAGAACAAAGGACCAGAAAGCAAAGGAATTCTGTAAAGAATTTAAAACACTTTTGCCAGTTCATGGCCTCAACAAGGTGGGGGTTCTGAGGGCCGGTATCTCCCCACTCCCAGAGTTTGTGGGCTCTTTGGTTGCTCCAGACGGGCAAACTGAAAGTTTGGATGCGCCCCCAGTTGTTGGTTGGTTCTACTTTCCCAGGTGGGGCCTATCACTTAGGTATCTGGGGACAGTGAGGTGTGGGAAAGGAGCTGGGGGGCTTTACAGGAGGACTTCCTGTCAATACCTCCGGGAGCCAGCAGATGGCGAGGGAGACTGACGCCCACACAACCAGGCTCATTTCTAGGGGTTGTTAGCAAGTTTAAAACCCGGAAATACATAAATAAAATCCGGAATTTGAGTGGTTCCTTCTCCTGCTTCTCGGATTATTCCTCTAGTTCTTTCCCTCAGCTTGTGTATCTCCACAGCATGCATTTAAAGTGTAAGGAAGGCGGACACACGCGTGGGGAGAGTGGAGAAGGGAGGCGGGCGGGTGGGGGAGGAAGGCAGGACAAAGCTCATTTGTGTATGACGTCCTGGAAAATTATCCAGGAGGCACCAGAAGCACATTTCATGTGTCACTGTGTCTATAGACGGGAGAGCACCGCAGGAAATGGGAAGGGTGGAGTAATCAGTATCCTTCTCTTCTGGAAGCTGTGCGGTTCCCTTTGAGTCTATGATTTTATCCAATGACTAAGCAAGGGAAGCAGCGGTCACCTTACCCAGTCACTGGGATATCAAGGGTTCTGGGTCTACTGAGATTCTTAGTCACAGTCCCTCCAACCAGCGACCCGATGTCTCACTTGCTGGCGCCCCCTCGCAGTGTACAGCAGCACCCGCAGAGGCACACACGGGCACACTGGCATCTCCCCATGATATCACGAGCACCTGAGAACTCTGTCATTTTCCAGGTTCTAGCGAACTGAGGGCAGGTGCAGCTGCGCACCCAGCGGATCCCAGTGTGGGCGGCCCTGCACACAGCACCGCTGCCCGTATCAGGTCCCAGCTCGTCCACCTCCCCCAACCTGCCTAGGGCTGCTGCTGCCCTCTGGTGGGGGTCAGAGCTTTACCAGCAGCTGCAAGCATTCCAACCTGGCTTCGTTTCCCATAGAATCCAGTGGGTCTGGAAGGGGACCAGGTGCTCCTTGAATCTGACCTTTCACTACAGGGCTCTTGGTCCTGCCATGAAAAACCTGGTCCCCGGCTGGGGTTTATTATCTGCTCTACCTTGACCTCATAATCAAACATAAAAGAAAACTAGGTGGCCCAGATGTAGCGACTTGATTTATGGCAGCTGAAGGAACTGAGGCTTACTTAGAATCCACAGCCTAGGAAGAGGACGGGGCTCTGCCAGGCCAGCTCCGTGGGTGGGTGGGTGGGTGGGGGGGGGGATTCTCTAGTCTCTTTCTAGCTAGAGGACAGGATGGGGTACCCAGAGTCTCCCTATAAGGAATGAAAAGGGGAGCTGGGTTTTCTCTGGCTCTCATCCTAGCTCCTTTTCTGGAATTTAAACAGCCACATTCTTAAGCACAGAGCTTTGGTATTTATCTTTGTCTCCCCGGTGGATATATTCAATCAATAACCTTTAAATGCACGAGTGAATCTGGCCATGATTCATGAGCAGAGGCATGAATCTGCCCAAGCAGCAAAGGGAAGCATTTCTATAGTACAGTAATACGCCGGGGCAAGTCAGAGCTCAGGGGACACCTGGAGAAGCCACCTCACTCGTGCCCTTGCCTTGAAGCATGATTGCCCTGCTGCAGAGAGGCACAGGGAAACAGGCAGATGAGAAGTGTGAAGGTGGGAAAGAGGCAGATGCTCTGGGTCTGCTGGGCTTTTCTTTGTCTTTAGGCTGTGACATAGCTACTTAAGTCAGTGAGTATCAAATACGATGAAAAACTGAGTCCTCAGCTGGTCTTGCCACATTCAAGTGCCCCATCGTCTCATGTAGACACATGAGACTACTGTGGTGGCTACTGTGCTGGACAGTGCAGATATAGAACACTTTCATCATCACAGAAAGTTCTACTGGACAGCACTGGCCGAGGGCACTGACCCATACTCGGGTACAGATGAAAATAGTAAGGCCAGGCTAGATGCTCCACAGTCCCCCTCCCTGCCTTGCTCTGTTTCCCAGCCAATGTGCAGCCTCCTGCCTTTGCAGCAACAGAAGGCTATGGGAGAATGGGAGACTGGCTGCTCACTGTTTAAAACAATGTAAGCCATGTCTCAGTCTCCTGAAGCCTGTTTCCCAGCTGTAGATGCTAATTAACTCAATTACACTGTGTGTTCCTATCTTTGCATAAAGAGAAAGGATGCAGGACTGTGGAGCCTTGGTGGGGGGTTTGCAACATCCCCTCCTACCCCTCCCAGCCTTGACCGGCATCTGCCTGGCCCCAGCCTTTCTCCAAAGACACTGGTTTTTTTTTCCCTCCGTGCTCATGTAACAAACGGGAGAGTTCTGGCCTCTTTTTATCCAGAATTATGAGATGGTAAAGAAATGAGCACTGACCTTCCAAGAGAAAAACAAACCCAAACAGCTGTCCTCCCAAAGAATACTTGCCCTTGCAATAAGGAGCCAGGAAAACCATACTACAGGAAGTCGAGAAGACTCCGAGGGTCTGTTCGTGGCATGGTGGGGGCTGCAGGCCTATCCAACAGGGCTGCTCACAGCCCCCACTCACATTCAAGTTAAATGGATGGTGGGGGTGGTCAGGTCTCTTAAATCAATAGCAAGGTTGGCTGAGGAAGGACTGTAATCCCTTCATCCTGATCAGGGAGATAAAAGCGTCATACAATGCAACAGATACACACTTGCAGTCAAGAGCTGGGGTACCCTGGTGCAGATTAACCTGAACTCAAATGTCTTCTTCCTCTCTCTTTGTTTTGGTTTTCTCATCAGAGTTATGGGAAGGATGATAAGTCCCTTCTCTCTAGGGCTATCAGGAGGATTGAATGAGTCAATATATGCTAATTAACTCAGCACAGGTCTCTGCCTTGTAAGCCTCTGGTGTCTCTCACCTATCTAGCTCTAGTCAACTAAAATTTGATTCTTGAGGGCCTGGCTGATAGATATCTACTTGGAGACCACAAGATCTGAGGCTCCCTGGACTGCACAAAATGCTGCCAGACAGAGTGACAACTGTCCTCTTGTCCCCAGGGAGTCTGCTTGTCAATTCTAAGTGAGGAGGACTTTGTACAGCACCCCCCCCCCCGCCCAGTAGTTTCTACTTACAGAACTCAGCTGGCAGTTTTTCCCTTTGTCCCATCCTGCTCCTTCATGCTGCATTGCTCCTAAAGATGGAGTAAGAAAAGCTAACCCAACACCCTCTTCCCCCGTAGTGTATTTGTGGCAGAAGTCAAGATGGGGGATGTCCTGGATAGTAGAAGCCCGAGGTCCCACAAGTCCCACTGTTCAGGAGCTAGAGGTATAAAAACACTCCCCATTTTTTTTTGGTCTGAAGCCAGACTAGGACTCAGGGCTATGACACTGGTGAGGATTTGTTGGTCCCTAAGAGGCAGTTGGTGATAAACGTGCACATAGGAAAGATGTACATGTGGAAGACTTCCAAAATGAGCATGTCCAGCCAGGCTTCTCTGCGTGTTGAGGAAGGAGGAACAAACAGTAGAAATGTCTGTTTCTCATAGACACATCAAACAACCATTTCAGACTGGTCCAAGTTTCCAACCTGGACCCATTCTGAGCATTGCGAAAGTCCTAGATGACCAGAAGGGGGCAGCAGAGAGAATATAGTGCTTATTCCTGAATCCACCAAGCAGAGCAGCTTTACCAGGGTTAAAACAAAGGGAGTCTTGGAGGTCAGAGACAGAGGAAACTCAGTTTTATTGATCTAGGGACCACTGGTGAGAGTGGGGACAAAGATTCCCTTCTCAGGTGGGGGGAGAAGCTTGTTGGTGCCATCTTTGCTGTCCAGTTAGGTGTCCAGTTAGGTGGCCACTAGCTTCTGTGACTACTGGACATGTGAAATATATTCAGTTCAACTGAAAACTCAATTTAAAAAAATACTTGAATTGGTTATTTGCAAACTTTTAAAGACCTTCGGAACAACTAAAGTATGTGAATCTATCTTCTCTCCTGCAAATCTTATGAAACTCAAATTAGATCAAGCATTTCCAGTGGAACTTTAGTGTCCAAATTGAGATGTGTTACAAGTGTAAAATACATACTGGACTGATTCCAAGGGCTTAATGAGAAAGAGAGAAAGAAAGAAAGAAAAGCGTCTCATCATAATTGTTTGAGTACATGTTGAAAGATAATATTTTTGGATATTTTGAGTTAAATATTTAAAAAATTAATTTTACCTGTTTCTTATCTTTTTAAAAAAATGTGAATTGCTCACTTAAAAATTATATTTCAGTTGGGTGCACTGTTCCAAAGAACTGAGAAGGAGACCCCCCCTGCCTTGGCTAAACTCTGTTTCTCACCCATTCCCAGCCTCAGTTCTCTTACAAACTAATGGTCCAGGCCAGCTCTGTCTGTGAGACTGTGCAGGGCCAAGGACAGAGCAAGTGTGAGGCTAAGATGGCACTGCAGGTCCAGTTTTGGTCTTGCTCTTTCTCCTGCCTCTAAAACAGAGAAACCCCCAAGTGGAGGGGGACTCTTATTTTGACTTTACCACCCTCACCAAAGGCAGATAGAAATTGGCCAACAGCCTGTTTGCTAGTTAGATCAGGCCAGGTGAGAGTCCCAGGGAGTGACTAGTGACCAGGAATAATGGGGGAACCCTAGGACTCCCAGAGGACAGCTGAACTTGAGTCCCGTCTCTGCCACTAATCCTGCCCTGTACCCCTTATTTTAGGCAAGGCACTTCCTACCCTGGATGCCAGCGTCCTCATGCAGCGTCCTAGCTGCAACATTCTTTGGCTAATATCCAGAGAATTCCTGGAGAGATGTTAGGGAGTGCTAAGCTGTTTGGCCAAGCAGGAAAGGCCACTCTCACAGAAATTTCTAGTTACTTCCCTGGATTTATATTTTAAAAACTGAAGAAGAAAGAAATGCTATCATAACAGAAATCATGGGAAGGAATGGAACCAGAAACAAGAGAGGGCTTCTTCGGATGTTGTGCAAGGCAGAAACACATACTGGTTTCCTTGCTTATCTGCCTATTTATTTCTCCAAAAATACTATCTTGTTGCTTTGAATAGAATTTGAGGATGGCCTCTGAGAATTGCAACTTTTTTTTTTTTTTTTGTCTTTTTCATTTTTATCGGTACAGGGGATCAAACTCACGACCGCCTGCTTGCAAGGCAGGTGCTTATGCCGCTGAGCTAAACCCCCAGCCCCAAGAATTGCAACTTTTGGACCAACTATGGTAAAGGCACAAAGCTAAAACTAAATAAAACCCCTCCCACTGGCCTATTTCTCTCTCCTGGCAACCCTTTTCTGGTCTCTTCCTTCTGTTCCATCTGGTCCTTGTCAGGACCATCTTGTTGACAGAGTTCTTGTGTCTTGAATTCAGTGGCTCTGGAGAAGGGGGTGCCTTCCCCAAAATTTTGGTACACACGTTAAACATCTCAAAGCTTCATAAGTGTGATTCAGCTACAAAGTAAAAACTCCTAACAAATCTTCCCTGGCTTCCTAATGGCTTCAGCTTCCTCCTCATACTGGAAGGGACCAGGGCTTCTGCAGAGATCCCTGCTCCCATGCCCTTTGCTCTAACCCTCTCAGTGACCTCTGGCTCCAGGGTCAGCCCGGCCCTCCCTCTGCAGCTGCAGGCCCACCTGCCTACTCAAAGCCAGCTCAAGCCCCAGGACTAACTCACAGCTGTTCAGATTTAAAACTCAAGCCCTGGGGGAATGCCTTAGAGTAGGGCAAGGAGAGGAGGGAGGGAAGAGGAGGGGAAAGGGGAGGAGGGAGGGAAGAGGAGGGGAAAGGGGAGGAGGGAGGGAAGGGGAGGGGAAAGGGAGGAGGGAGAGACCGAAGAGAAAAAAGAGAAATGGAAAGAACATGAGCTCTCTCGCAGGGCCAGCTGTGCTTACTCTTCCCGTCTGAGCTGACACAGCAGAAAGAGGGGAAAGATGGGGGCAAAGGTAAGAGGAGCCAAGCCAGAGCACCCTCACTTGTCTTCCCACCCCGTTTTGGTTGGCTTGGGCACAGCCAGCCTCTCAAAGACTCATTTCAAAGGGAGGGAGTGCGGGTGGGAAAGGAATCTGGCCCCTCAGTTTTCCATGATCTTGTTCAACCCAGACATAAATATGGCCAATAAACCTAACTTGGAACTGGACTTCAGCATGGCATTTGAAACAGGCTTGGCGCTGGAGCCAAGGTAATGGAGGCCAAGCACTCAAAACAGCAAAGGCTGAATTCATTTTCATGTAGGTAATGTGTTTTTTCTTCTTTCTTTCCCAAAAGAATATTTTCTGACTCGTTTTGCCTCTTCTTTCTCAGTGAAAGAACTGAAACACAGAACCAACTGCCCCCCCCCCCGCGGTGTCACAGGCCCCGCCAAGTGTGCCAGGTTCCAGCCCATGAAGCTACAGGACCCCTGCCCAGCAGCCTCACAGTCAAGTCTGGACCTTCCTGGACCCCAGTGGCTCAGCCAGCCCCGTATTACTGAACCTGACCCCGTGAAGAGCTCCGGTCTCTCCACACCTCCACTTACCACCTTCTGTTTCTAGATCTATCTCTGAACCTGGCAGAAAAAAACGCAGGGCCAGTTGCGCTCGCAGCACTGGCTTCCTCTGCAACCCTCCTTCCAGTTGCTCAGCAACATGCCAGCAAAACAGCAGTCTCTGCCTCCCAGCTCCTCGCTCCTGGAAGCTCTGGCTGCCAGCCACCTACCTCACTCCTGCATTCCCTGCCGCTGATTCCCAAAATGCACTCTTTGGGGGGGAAGGGGTTTTAAAAATATACATAATATAGACCTATATAATATATACTTTTGGTTGTGTTATACATAATCATGTAATACATTAATATATCACACGCACATACACAAACATCTCTCTTGCAACCGTTAGAGAGGGAGAAACACACACAGAGTGCTCTGATTGGGGTGGTGGGGGAGGTGGGCTGGGGCACAGGAATTTTGTCTACAGGGCCAGAAAAAGGACACTGTTCTCTCTCGCTGTGCATTTCCTACTTAAAAACTTTCTGTGCCACCTCCAACTTTTTAGGGACTGTCTCCCACCCAGTCTGGCCAGCAGGAAGGCGTCAGCCTGGGCCGCGATGGAGAGCCGCCAACCCGCAACTGCAGCCCGCCGGGCACCTGCCTTAGGCGGAGTAGGGTAGGCGTGCAGGGCTGGGGCTGGGGCGGGGCCAGAGAGGAGGTGCTTCTGGCCCGCCCAAAGGCACCTCGAAGGTGGGGGTCGGGAAGGGGACTGTAGAGAATTCTAAAGGGACAAAAGTGTGTGCGCGTGCACACGGCGACAGGTTGAATAAGGAGTGTGCACTCCGTTTTACTGTCCCAGCCTGTGTGTGTGTGTGCGCGCTGCGCGCACACTGCCAGTGACTACTACAGCTCGCCATCAGGAAAATAAATGTGAGGCTGGGTGCTGCGGCTCAGTCACTTGCACATTTTTTTTTTTTTTTTTTTTTTTTTTTTTGGTACCGGGGATCGAACCCACAACCACACACTTGCAAGGCAGGTGTTTATGTCGCTGAGCTAAATCCCCGGCCCCACACTTGCATATTTTTGATGCGAGTGGATTGTTACCGGAGCTCTAGCTTCCAGAACGGGTAATAAACCCGTACCTTTCCACAGGCAAGATCTTAAAAAATGACCCTGCCATTCGGTCGCGGCGGCTTTCGGAGCTCGCCAAGTTCTCCCCCCCTCTCCTCCTTTTCAGGCTGCAACCGGTTGGAGGACTACCTGTGGGAAGGCCGAGGGGCCAGAGCCTGTGACGGTCAAAAGCTGCTGTTCGCGGGCCAGGGGCTGCACCCTGGTGTGCTCTTCTGCAGACTGGCAAACACGCAAAGTTAGGCGACTGTGTGTGCAGCTTGCATTTAATAAAACTCAAATTGGGGTGCTCGTGAGCAATTGAGAGTGTTGGGGGGAAAGGGCCTTGTTCCAGTAAGAACCTACACCAAACAAACAATAGCTAAGTTTTAACACCTTAGGAGAGAATCGGTAATTCAGATTTTTGTGTATCGCTTGTAAACTTCAAAGAATTTTATGCGCACACGCACACACACACACACACACACGCACACACGTAGACACACAGAATTTTTTTTTTTTTCAGAGAACTCCAAAAAGAAAACCCGCATAAGCAGGCAGAACTGTTCTGATTGAACAAGGAGTTCTGTCAATCATTTAAACTCTAGACGCCTGGCGCCCGAAGCGGGGGCGGGGCAAGCGGGGGCGGGGCAAGTGGGAGGAGGCTCCGGGTGCGTGGCTTTTCTGTCTCTGCCCTTGAATTTTACATTCCGTGTTTCTAGGGCCCCTCTTGCATTTGAGCCACACCCACTCACGATCTGGTTTGAGATGGGCCGAGGGTGGGGTTGGAGGCCAGGGTGGTTTGGAGTGGAGTGGGGGACGTGTGCAGGGATGCGGGCCATCAGCATTGGCCGGGAAGTCGCAGATGTCCATATCTACATCCCTCCTCGCTGCCCACCCTACGTCTACCCTTCATCCTAGGTAAAATTTGGATCGAGGACAGAAAAAAGCATTAGATTCAAGGAGGAGCCACCCGGCACAGAACACTGAAACCTTCCTTCCTGTTCATTCCCCCCCCTGCTCCCGCGCTCCCTAAGGACTGTATTCTTTTCCTTCCTAAGCAGGAGAAATGGCATTTTGCAGTTTAACATGTTTTATGATCTACCGCAATCAACCATATACAGTCAAAAGCAACGCGTGTGCATGTGAGAGGGGCCTAAAGGCCCCCACCCCACAGGCGTCACCTACCAAAGAAGTGTGTGTGTATATGCGCGCACGCGCGCGCTCGCGCGCGAGATAGTGAGGTGGACAGGTCCCGAGGTTGGGGTGGGGGAGGGGCGGCTGGGGGACTGGGAGGGACAAAGATGGAATTAACCCAGAAGATGGGTAACGCCTCTCTCTTCAGGCCTTAATTAAAGCAGTATTTTAACAAAAGAGGTATTTTTCAAGTTCAGAAATAAAGCGCATGAGGGTGGGTAGGGGGAGGAGGGAGTTAATTGATAATGCAACATACACTCTTTCCGCCTGGACACCGGGTACCAGGGCATTCGGACCTTGAGACCAAATCGGAGCTCAGCTCCAGTATTCCGGTGGGGGAGGGTCCGGTGGAGACAGGGGTGAGGAGATGGAGCAAAAACTGGGATAGTCAGGGCTAGACAGCAGCCCAGGGAAGCAGGATCTGCCAGGGCTCCAAGTCCGAGGGGCAACGACCCACCCGACTACTCCCAGGATACACCAGGCTCGAGCCACTTGCTGCGCAAAGCGCGCGGGGCCAACCCGTCCCGTGTCCCCCGCCCGTGCGCCGTGTCGCTGGCACACTGAGCGCGCTCACCGATCTTGGCTTGCTCGCGGTAGTTCTTTTCGTTGAGGCAAACCCCGCGGCCGTGCAGCAGGGCGTGCAGTGGCTTCTCCTCGCCCTGCCGAGGGAGGCAGCGCAACCCCAGGGCGCAGCGCTCTGTGTAGACGCCGCAAGTCTGCCCCTCGGCCAGAGCGCAAGTCATGCAGCAGCCGCAGCCGGGTTCCTTGACCAGCTCGCAGCCCAGAGGGCTGGGGGGACACATGGAGAGAGCTTTCTCGTCGCAGGGCTCGCAGTGCACTAAGGAGCCCAGGCCCTGGGCCGGCCCCGCATAGGCGGCCAGCAGCAGGAGGACCGTGGTGAGCACCATCTTCTCCGAGTCTCCGTTTACCTTGGGGCGGGGCAGGAGAGCGAGAATGCGGGAAGAAACGAGCCGAGAGGGCGCCTGGAGATTTTTTTTTTTTTTTGCTTTTTAAATCTCCGGCAGGTAGAGCAGGTGCCCTCCCCTAGACAACTGCAAAATGTAGGGAGAGGAGGATTCAGGTGCCTGCTAGCAAGTCCCTATTACAAGGATTAAAGACTTGCAACAGGTTGGGGGAAAAAAGAGGCGCGCCAGGTGCACGCGGAGTGAGCCGAGGGCGGAGAACCTCCCCAAGGGATCTGGTCAGAGCTGCAAGAGGAGGAAGCCACAAAATTGTTCACCCCAAAGCAACCACCGAAATAATGAGCTCGGAGGCCGTGGAGAACGGAGTGGCGGGGGTGGGGTGGGCAAAAATGGGTTTGTCTTCAAAAATTTTGCTTAAAATCTAAGACACCCCGCTGTTTTCTAACCCTCAGCTGCCAGCGGCGCTAGGCTGCCGCGGACCAGGTAAGAGGCGTTCACTGCAGCCGAGAGGGTGGCAGAAAACGTTGAAATAGTGAAATAAAAAAAAAAAAAAAAAAGAAGAGAAAAGAAAAAGGCCCCCCACACCCCAAACTCTAACACCCCTTTTTCTCCCCCTCTGCCACCACTTCTTCGAAATTCGCGTGAAGTCCGGAGAAGGGTGCAGCGAGAAGGGAGTAAGCAAAGGAGCAAAAGAGGAAAAAGCCCACAGGGCTTTGCGGCTCTTTCCTAGCTCTTTTCCCTCGGCAGAAGTTTCCAAAGAGACTGCGGGCTCCGGTCGAGCAGGCGCTTTTAAATAGACGGCCCCTGGCCGCAGGCCAGTTTGTAGCTGCAATTTGAGCTCCCCAACACCCAACCCAGGCGAGGATGCCAAGGAGCTTTGCAGCACAGACTCACACGGGATGGGGGCGGGGAGAGGCCTTCGAGACACACGGGGGCTCCCGTCGCTCTCGGAACAGCGCCCTCCTCCTCCTGGAATGTAAAGAGGGGCTGGAGGACAGGCTGGGGGCTGCTGCGAGAGGGGGAGGAGGTGGAGGGGCAAGCAGCAGAGAATTCCTCCTCGCTGGGTGAACCCGACTGCCTAGGCCTCCCTCCCTCTGGCCCTGAACTAGCCGAGACACAGGCTGGGGTGGAGTGGGGGACACATTTTCTTATTAGACAACTGGATATATACTATGCCCGAGAAACTCTCTCCAAGCTTCCAAGAGGACAGTCTGCGAATACCTAAGTTACCATCTAAGGTGTGTGTGTGTGTGTGTGTGTGTGTGTGTGTGTGTGTGTGTATCTGGGAGGGTGGCAGTCTACCATAGCCGATGAGGGATAGTGAAGTAAAAAGAAACTGAAAAAGAAGGAAAACTGCCCTGCCCTAAAAGAGTCTCAGAAAGGGAATTTAATTAAAAGCATTTTTGTTGCTGGTGGGTGAGCTTTGGTCATATGGCCAAGAAGTGGCCACGTTGTTGGCCAGGGATGCACCCCTCCTTCTTCTCGTGTGTGTGTGTGTGTGTGTGTGTGTGTGTGTGTGTGTGTGTACTTCAGGAAGGGACATTCATCCATCAGCATTGATGGGAGCAGTCAGTTGAAGAAGAGACCCCCATTCTGAAGGAAATGCTCAGTCTGGAAGCTGCCTGGTATCCCAGGGTGTCCTCGTGTTGAGTTTTAGATGCTCTGCGGTTCGGAGCACCACTTTGTTTTAAAAGAGCTGCTCCTGGCAGGGCTGCTCCTGGAGGGAATAGGTGCCAGACCGGGGGGGACCTTGTCCTGAGGTTAATGGGTGCCAGCAGGCACGTCTCGGGCATATGAGATGACAGGCCCACAAGCCTGTTCTGAACAGATTCTCACTGGGACTTCTTATCAGGCCACCTGAAACCTCAGACAGGCTGCTGGGGCAGTACTAACCTCTTCTTGCTTTAGTCAAATGGAAGAAAACTAAAGCTTTGAAAGAAGAGTGGCACTTCTCCATTTCTTTCTGAATTGACATGATAAGTGAGTTATGGATGGCTTCGGCAGCTCCCAAAGAAATGACCAGTTGGCACTGGCCCTTGGAGTACTTGCCACTGGGCTGCTGTTGCCCCTTTTACATATTCTCTCCTCCCTGTGAAGTGCTGTAGCTTTCTTTTAGAGAAGGGGCTGCATTTCATAAAGTTTGCCACTAGACTGCACCCTTATCTATGATAAGAATTCTTTCTGGAGGACTGCTTTCAAAAAAGTATTTCTCTAGCTAGTTCGATTTGGAAGCATTTCATTTGATGCTATTCACACCCCCAGATCCTGATCTCTCTTCTCACTTATCTATTTGCCGAAAGGCACATTTAAAAATAAGCCCAAAGTTTAAAGTTGTGCTTTTGCCTCTATTGCCAAAGGGGTTTAGGTGTTGACTGGGAGAGGGAGGAGGAGCTGTGTGTAATGATCAAAATTGCTTCCCCTCTCTTTCTGGAGGCTTGGTAAAACAGGGAGCAAATTAATATTCAACAATTTGGTTGGAATATTTTAAAAGAGAGGGAGATCATGTGTTATTTTCTCCTTTGCATCAAGTCCAGACTCGAAGAGTGGCCCCGATTGTGTGGAGTGTGAGCCCTGTCTGCGCTGCCTCAGCTGCTTAGCTCGCTGCCGCCACCCCAAGAGCATCTGTGCTGAGTAGGGAAAGTGGGGTGATCCTTCCAAAGAGCAGGAGCAACCTAGCTGTCCCGTATCTCCAGAGGGTGGCCGCCAGTGATACTTCTTGTTGTCTGGTTGGATAACATGAAGTGTGAGGGTAGGAAAAAGCAAGAGGGGATGATTCATAGGGAAGATGAAGAAGGTAGAAAGCAGGAGGACGGGAACACGGTGGGAGTGAGTCTCTGGGGAGGTTGCTGGAGGACAAGGGGAGCAGTCTGTCCTTCTGTAAGAAGGACTATCTGGTCACGTAGCCCTTCTTTATCTCTGCTTCTACCTGCACCTGGGCTTAGGCCAGAGGAATTCGGGGCCTGGAGCTGCTGTCCCAGGGCCCTGGGGTAGGCTCCTCAAGAAGGCAGCACAGAAAGAAGAATTCTTGGCATCCTGGCTTGTTTAGAGTGATTTTGTCCCAAGATAGGGGATGAACAGTGTGAGTTTTGAGTTTGAGAGTGCGTGATTAATACCTGACAATGGAAGGGGCACCCCTCTTTATTCCATTCCTCCTTTCCTCCGTTCTGAAGGTGCAGATCACTTCTCTACCATCTTTAGAAAACTGATCATGGGGAAAAGAATCTTCCCTCAAGAGTTTCATCAGGAAGGGCTCTTTTATTCCTGCCAGACACAAAGAGCCATATTTTTATTGCTCTCTTGGCATAGATGAGCTTCATCGCTTTTAAGCCCATTTTTCTGGGAGAAATAGGAAGTTAAGTATCACCTGTGCCCTGTTTCCCCAGAGATCACACCTCCCTTTTCCTTTAAAAGATTAACGGCCTATTTAAAACTAAGTTTCAAGACATGTCACCAAGAGAAAGATTTGTGCTATCTGGACTTTTCAAAAGGTGGGCAACATGCTTATATCTTATAAATCCTGCTGGTATGCCTGTCCCTGCGGTCATTTTCTGTAAGTTTCCAAGTGGTTTCTAAGGCAGTCATGAGGAGGAGGAGCTGTCTGTACTGATTAAAAATAATTATTAGCCTGATAATATGGGTTGGATAAGTTCGACTTTTTAATAGGACACAAAGTGGCATGGATTCTGGTTGGAAAGGAATAACACCAGTTAAGGGGCTTGTTTTGATTCTCTCTCAGACAGGCTTATTTATACCATTGATTCCGTTTTTAAGAGCTCAGGACATTGACTTCAGTCCTTTGCAGAGAAACTGGTGCACATCACACGTCCCCATGCTGCTGTCTCATCAGGCTCCTAAAGTAAGGAAGCTTCAAGAAAGAGCAGCTCGCCTTCAGGTCCTTCTCTAAGCAAGGGAAGGTCAGCAGGCCTCAGGCATTGTGCAGAGCAGCCACTGAAGGCAGCTTTGTTGCAATCATGTCACTGAAGGCTAGGTGGCAGGATAGATACACCAGTGAAACACGCCTCCTTTCCTGAAGGGCAGCAAGCTGACCGGGAGAAGAGTTTAACAGTGGAGGTAGGGTTGCAGGGAAGCAAATGGTTGGATGGTGGGACATACTGTATTTCAACAACCCGTGGTTCACTTATATGCTACCCAGCCTGGGGACCATGACACCATCCTGAACTGCAAAATTGTCTCAGCAGCTGCATTCATGATTACCTTCCCTTGGTTCCCTGCATTCGTGATTACCTTCCCTTGCAGACCAGGTACACTTAGTTGGCTCAGGACTTGGGGAACACAGGATTCGTCAAAGGATGTCCTGCAGCTTCCTGGTGAGCAACTAGAATGTGATCTTCAAACTACATAATTTTAAAACAATTAAATATGAACTGTAGCATATTTCACATAATCAAGAACAGAAGATAACACAAGTTATTTTGTACCCACCACACTATTTCATACCTGAGAACATTTTGCCATTATGGTTGGAACTTTTATTAAGAAGTAATTAATTCATGGTGATAGGTCATACCTTGCCTGGTTCATCCCATTCCATCCTCTTGGTAGAATTGGCCACTCTCTTGACATAGTTCTGTGTCTTTTTTACACAATGCTTTTCTGGGTCATATATGAATTTTTAAAAATTACAGTAGAGTTAGGATGATTTTGAGGGTCGAACTATGTGTGCTGTAAAGTTTGTGCAGCGGGACCAGCTGCAACCGCAATGTGACTCCTCTAAATCGATGCTAAGGCTGACTGCAAAAGGAAGAGCAGCCAAGTGTGAGTCAGAGTGAGCTGTACCCCTGCGTGAGCAGTATATAAGTTAATAGTTTCATGAATTGGTTTTTAGGAGGCTCTGGAGCAGATCCAGACAGATAAGGCAGAGCAGAGAGCGCTTCATAAATACAGTTTTGGACTGGAGCCCTCCTGTCTTCTTGGATCATGGGATCTGGCATATCCCTGCATCGGACAGCTCAGAAGCCGTGTTAATTTTGGAAAGTGAGATTAACCAGGAAAAGTGGAAAAGTGATCTGCTGTGATTTGGAAGACAATGTTGGTAGGTCCAGGGTTTGGACCTAGGGGAGAGAGAGAGAGACAGAGAGACAGAGAGAGAGAGAGAGAGAGAGAGAGAGAGAGAGAGAGAGAGAGAGACAGAGAGAGACACAGAGAGAGAGAGAGACAGAGAGACAGAGAGAGAGAGACAGAGAGACAGAGAGAGACAGAGAGAGAGAGACAGAGAGACAGAGAGAGACACAGAGAGAGAAGAGGTAGGTAGAGAAATACAGTAAGAGGGGATGGAAAGAGTGTTAACTGCTTGAAACAGGTTTAATGGGAGGTCTAGAGCTGGGAAAAGGTCAAATAAAATCACAGTGCAAGGTAGAATCTACATTTCATCCCAGTTCAGCAGGGGAGGTGGTGAAAACCAGCTCTCCACCACGAGCACATAGGGCATATTTGTGTGAATTAGAAAAAGCTGCCCTTCCTCGAGGTACTTTCCTACCAGTCATCAGAAAATGGTTATAAGATACAGATTTTGGATTCTTAAAAATAAGTTCCAATAGACTCTTACTGCTGGGCTTAAAATATGTTAATTGTAAGGTAACCTAAAGTTGTACAAACATACTAAGGTCTAAATTCCATATGCTTATGTCACTGTAAAATCCAGCACAAATGTAAATAAAGTCAACCAAAGCTACCAGCCCGACGAAGTGCACAGTGACAGCATTAGTTTAATGTGCTGGTTGCTGTTAGGGTTGATGTTTTACTGAAAA